GTGACCACTTTTCTGGTGGTTCCCAGGGGAGGGTAGGGGTGGTTCTTTGGGATCAGGGTTATGCCAGGTCTGGCCCAGGCAGCCTGGTTTCATAATCGAGTATGACCTATTTGAATCTATACTCATGAGCTGCTCTGTGTTGAGTAGTTTGGGAGTCATTTCTGCTGATCAAGAGAAGAAAGAGACCTGATCAGGACAGGAAAAGACGGGCTCTGAGAGTCGGGGGTGGATTTGCTCAGTACTAGCGGCCACTGGCCCATGTGGCATATTCCAAAATGACCTGTGCTTGTAAGAGGTTGGTGGGAGATGTGCACACATTTTCTCAGCAGGCTGGGGTCGTTGTTAGCCTTTCTTGGATTGGTTTTGATATAATTTCCCAGCTAAATGGCACGCATCCTTTCACACAGAATGCTGGAGGGAAGGCCACCAGGCTAATGGCCAGAGGTGACTTTGTGATGCAGAAAAGTTCTGGCCTTTTGTGACTCACATATCCAGAGGTCATCTTCTTACTCCATGAGAGGGGGACAAGCTGGGCTGTCCATTCCCATGGAGAGGCCAAGGCCTGCCCTGGCTGTCCGTGGTTCCTCAGAGCCTGCGTTCCCATTACCATGGTGGGCCCCGAATTCCCTGATTTTGCTGAAGTCTTGTTCTCTTGGTCTTACAGCTGTTCCTTGATCTCCGTCCTGGTATTGATCCCAGCCCGGGTTCCCTGACTCCCCTGCAACCTTGCATCTAAGTACCTACAAATACAAGCTGGGAAGTTGTAAGGAAAAGCAGGACATGGCTGTACAGAACTTAAAAATGCCACAGCAGACAGAAGAGCAGATGTCCTATTGCTGAATGTCTTCCAGACAACCCCACCTCCAGGCTGGCCACACACTGCACGGAGTGCCTAGCCTCAGACTGTCTTGCCCTCTCTCTTACTCCCTCTTTCAAGTTCCCCTTTAAGTCTTCTTTCCTAAGCAAAGGGCATGAATTCTCTTCATTCCTACTCCTAAAGCTCCCAGACTCACCTTTGCACAGCCAAGCACGTCAGGGCTCTTGACTGCAGGAGAGGTCTTCCAGGCCATAAGCCACACCAGGGACCAGTGGGGACCTGGCGGTTAGCTCTCCTCCTTTCATAGGATGCATCCCTGGAGTGGCACTTGTGGTTTTAAGTAGCAATTTCCCCTTCCCTTTAGGTTATTTTCCAATAGAAGGCTGAGGCAATTTACAATCTTTATGTCATTCATTCATTCATTCACTCACTCACTTATCCATCCAACACATATACTGGGCAAAGTCAGTGTGCTGAGTGCAGATGCTGGGGGAACAAATACGGACAGGCTTGTTTCCAGAAACAAGCCAATGGATTGCTCACGTCACCTGCGGACTATGGTGACACTGAAAATGATCAATGCCTTGGGTATTGCCGTATGCAACGAAACCTAAACTCATAAGATGTTATTGAGGGGAGTAAGTGCTCTTTACCTTGCAAAAGGATTCACTGCAGGATTAAATAAAGCTGGAGAATTTTAGAATTTGAAAAGACCTGAGGAGACCCACTCCTTCAATCCCTTCATTAGTTACTGGTGAAAAGTGAGATTTAAATAGTTTAGGAGGGTGGCGCGTGGTGGCTCATGCCTGTAATCCCAGCACTTTGGGAGGCTGAGGTCGGGGGATCATGAGGTCAGGAGTTCGAGACCAGCCTGACCAACATGGTGAAACCCCGTCTCTAATAAATACAAAAATTTGCCGGGCGTGGTGGTGCGCACCTGTAATCCCAGCTACTCAGGAGGCTGAGGCAGAAGAATCGCTTGAACCCAAGAGGCAGAGGTTGCAGTGAGCTGAGATGGCGCCACTGCACTCCAGCCTGGGTGACAGAGTGAGACTCCGTCTCCAAAAAAACAACAACAAAAAACACCCCGCTTAGGAGACAATGCCAGAGCGGGTCAGAGCTGGCACTGTTTTATCCATTCTCGGTGCTGGTCTCTTTCCATCAGGCCCCTTATGATGTAGAGATGCTGTAATGATGCTCTGTAGATAACCAGGTCAATATTTATCGAGTGCTTTCTGTGTGCCAGACACAGTTTTAAGCGCTTTTTACAACACTGCTCTTACAGCACTCCCATTAACAACACTGGGAGAGAGCTGAGACACAGAGATTAGACAACTTGTCTAAGTTCACACAGCTCAGGACTGGTCTTGGGCTTCTCATCTGGGCCACTTGACTTCTGAGCCACAGTACTGTGACTTTTCTTTAGAGTGACTCCCGGACCAGGAGTCCCCATAGAGAAATGTGTTTCCACTCACATATGGAAAGTATTTCTGTATTGAACATCATTTTAGTGCTATGAAAACCAAAGCTTGGTATCACACCTTTTGGCACATCTTTTTAAAGTTGCCACATATACAGCTGCCATTGAAGTTTGTAAAGCTTTGTGGATAAAAGTACCATGAAAAGCGGTTCGTTTGATGTGAGTGACAACCAACAGAACTGTGATCCAAATGATATGTGAAATGGGACAGTGGCGCCTGGGAGGGTAGAAATACCTGCAGAGGTTTACAGAGTGAGATGTTTGTCAATAAAACCATTCGGAAGTCAATTTCCTGTTGTTTTCTTGAGAAGCAACTCTATTTAAGAAACTGCTTTTACAAAATCAAGTTCTTTTTAGCAAGGACTGCTTTAAGTATTGCGACTGGAATGAATGAAGGGCAGTCATGTTCTGCACTTTTCAAAAGTCTTCTAACTGGAGTCTTAGAGCTGATTTTCTTTTCGTTTGTGATTAATTTCCCAGACTAACATTCCCAGCTCCCACCCCACCCAGCTTTTATAGTCCAGAGATTCTGAGAGTAGGAAGTCCTAGAAAAGCCCAGAATCTAAAACAAGTAAGACCACTCAGTTCTCTAGCTTTTTTCCTATCCAGTTGTTAGCAAAAGAAACTTTGGTGGCTCACGCCTGTCATCCCAGCACTTTGGGAGGCTGAGGCAGGCGGATCAGGAGGTCCAGAGATCCGAGACCATCCTGGCCAACATGGTGAAACCCCGTCTTTACTAAAAAACACAAAAATTAGCTGGCTGTGGTGGCATGTGCCTGTAATTTTGAAAAAATGAAATTTACTGTTTATTTCTTTGTTACACATAGAAAATTAAAGGTAGTCCAAGACATCTCAGCCCGTCTCCCAGGTCTTTTTGGACATAATTACACACAATAATAGCAAGCCAGATTACGAATCTAGCTCAGGGTCAGCTTCTTCCAGTTGAATGACTATCTCTGGAGCTAAAGCAGCAGCACCGGTTGTTGGTTCTCCGCCTCCGACTCCCACAACACTTCTTCCTTTATTTTCATAGGCTTGTTACTGACCTCCGCCTCTTCATCTGAAGACTCATTGAGCTCCCAAGTCATCATCTATGTCAATTTCAAATACTCTCACGTGACAAAAGATTGGAACTTGACACACAGGATACTTGGGAGGCTGAGGCAGGAGAATCGCTTGAATCCGGGAGGTGGAGGTTGTAGTGAGCCGAGATTGTGTTGCCGCACTCCAGCCTGGCAACAGAGAGAGATTCCGTCTGAAAAACCAAACCAAACCAAACCAAACCAAACCAAACCTCTGGAAAGCCTAAACTTTAATGCACCCATCTCAGCAGTATCTCCTCTAATGATGGAAAGTCGTAGAAATGAAGAAAAGAGAACATCATGAACCTTGCGGGAACGTTGGAGTTTTGTCTATTATCACAAGCAGCGTGAGCCCTAAGTCATTTAAATCCTCTGGGGGTGGGGTGGGGTGGGAAACATAATTATTTGCAAGGGAGCATTATTAGCTAAGTACAAATGGGCTGCTATTTGTTTTCACTGTTCTTTGTAATGATTACAGGCTGGGGATGGTGTTTAGTAACAGGATCCAGCAGGTCAGTTATGACAACTTCGTCACTGTCATTAACCCCTTTTGTTTGCAATGAACACAAAAAGCCGCTCAGTATTAACAGAGTCAAGGAAAAGAGAAAGAAGAGGGGGTGGGGAAAGTGAGACACCCAGAGGGCCAGCCAGGGAACAGAAGTTCACACACCATGAATACCAGAACAAAATACCCCTGGGTAATTGACTCAGCTGACTCCCAATGGTGCGGGGGGCCTCAGTGAGAGGACCACATTTTGAACTCCCTGTTCTTTCTGCCAAAAGAATAATTGCTTGTGTTTATAAATGCAAATATTTTTTGCCATTTTGGTTCCTAGAAACGCCCTAGGGAGATGTTATTTTTGGTAAGGGGTCTTCCTGCTTCAAGGGTAATGACTGTGAACAACTAGTTTCAGTATCTTCTCTAGCACGCCAGGGTAAAATGAAGCAAAATAAATAGAGGAAGTGCTGTGACCTTTATTGAGGATCGACTGGGTGCCAGGCAAGATGGAATTTTCCTTTTTTTCTTTTTGAGACTGGGTCTGTCACCCAGGCTGGAGTGCCGTGGTGTGATCTTGATTCACTGCAGCTTCCGCCTCCTGGGTTTAAGCGATTCTTGTGCCTCAGCCTCCTGAGTAGCTGGGATTACTGGTGGGTGCCACCATGCCTGGCTAATTTTTGTATTTTTAATAGAGACAGGGTCTCACCATGTTGGTCAGGCCGGTCTTGAACTCCTGGCCTCAAGCGATCCACCTGCCTCAGCCTCCCAAAGTGCTGGGATTATCGGTGTGAGCCACCGTGCTGACAAAAGGCATTTTTTATGTGCTTTTTCTCCTCTGTCTTCTCAACAACCCTGGGGTAAAAGGCCTCATGACCACTTTTCCTATGAGAACAATAAAGTACAAGGAGGTAAAAGATTGCCTCTAAGATCACCCACCTAGAGGCATAGGGCAGGGATTTGATTTCAGGTGTGTCTTGTTCCAAACTTACACCGTACTGCTGGGGGAAAACAAAAAAAGAGCAAAAAGAAAAACCCAAAGGTTCTTAACTGAAGACAACCAAGACAATGTAGGCAGAAGTCAGGTCTGATCATGTGGATGCCCAAATAATAAGCGGATACATCGAGAGCAACTGCGTTAATTAAATCATAAAAATATGTTCTGCTTTTTTGGGGAATTTACTGCTCCTCCTGGGGTGACCCTTGACAAGATAGTCTGTCTTCCTGTTTTTAAGCAAAAACAAAGTGGGTAGGAGATGAAAGTTTGATATTTGGCTCATGCAGAGCTTTGCCTTATTCATATATTTTGTGCTTGCCTGTCACTTCGGCTTTCTATTGCCAGACCAAGCTCCGTCGACTGCCATTCCTACTTCTGACACTCGTGTTGTCCGTTTCAGGACAACTTTACGCCTACTGTGCCTTGGGTCTTGAGAAACGCATGGTAAAGCTGACCAATGGTGGAAGGCAGGCGGAGCAGGGAATCAGATTTGAGTCTCCTGGTGCGGTGGGAATCAGGCTACTTGATGACGGAATCAGGCTGCTTCTGCAATGACACTACATGAAATAATCTGAAATTTGACCTTAACTGTATCTGGCGGGTCCCTTTAACCCTCTAAGTTATGGACAGAACGTTGACTCAAATTCTAGCAACGTCTAGGCTCCTGGGAACACATTCACCAATTCAGGTTTTTAGAACATTCATTTCCAGCTTTAGGTCTTCCTAAGACTGCCTGCCTGCGTGTCCCTTAACACCACTCCAGCCTGAGTGTCACATGGATCCTGTATTTGGACTTGTGTGTGGACTTGTGTGTACACTGTAGAAAAAGAAGCAACAGAAAACCCCAGGCAGTGGGGTGGAGTCATGACGAAAGACACCGAGGCTGAAGATCGGGAAGCTGGAAATTCCCCCCAGTCTGGGTGTTTGGGCTCTATCTAGCTTTTCCACTTCCCTAAATCACCCTTGTGCTGCGAGTGTGCTCGAAGTAGATGCTCCCTAATTGTCTCCGGTACTGACCGTAAAACCCAAAGGGCTGGAATACTCTCTCCCTATTTCTCAACACCCATTTCAACACCCAAACTAAAACCTCTCACCTGAGTGCAAGGGAGTGGCGACCTTCTAAAGCCGAGAGCTGTTCCATCGTGGGGGGGGGCTCCCTAAGGGCAGCTGTTCCTAGCGGGGGAGCCCTCACCCCACTTTGCTCAGCCTGAGACACGCAACTTTTCTTCAGCTTTCTTCGCTGAATTCTCACGGCGGGGCTGGGGCGGCGTTCAGGGTCACCAGCGAGGGGCCCGGCCCCGCTGGGCGCTGTTCACAGGTAGCTCGGGCTGGGGCAGGGGGGCTTCATCACCGCCTGCGGGGACAGGTGGGACACAGGCATTTCCGGGGTCCTCTCAGACGACGCTGATTGACACTGTCCAGTTGGAGAGCTATTGTGTCCAGGGCGCAGAGGCTCCCCGATGCCCCTTGGGTAGTGGGCATCCGGCCCAGGGCTTCTCTGGATGAAAGAGAGCGCGTGGAGCGGGGGGCGGGAGGTCCGCGCAGCGAACGAGGCGGCGGCGGCGGCGGCGGGGGAGGGGCAGCCAGAGGGGAGGGGGGGGGGGAGGGGGAGGAGGAGGAGTCCCTCGTGGCCACCTCGAGGGGAGGGCGACCGTAGAGACTCAGTCGCGAGGCGCGGGCCGAGCCGGGCAGTTGGGACCGGGCCCCGCGCAGCGCGGACCGTCGGGCGCGCGCTCCCCGCAGACCCTCGCGGAAGAAGCGGGGGGCGGCGCGCGTGCGCGGGGCGGCGGGCGGCGCGCGAGGGGGCGGAGCGGGGAGGCGCGCGGCGACCCCGGCGGGCTGTAGCCCGCGGCGCGCGCGCGCGCGCGGGGGGCGGGGGCGCGCGGAGGGGGGGGGCTGCCCCGGGGCGGCCCCCCCAGGTCGGGGAGCGGCGGGCGGCGGCGGCGGGCGCGCGTCCCGTCCGGGTCCCGAGTCGCCGCCGCCGCCGCCGCCGCCGCCACCACTCGCCAACATGGCGGACCTGGAGGCCGTGCTGGCCGATGTCAGTTACCTGATGGCCATGGAGAAGAGCAAGGCCACCCCGGCCGCCCGCGCCAGCAAGAGGATCGTCCTGCCCGAGCCCAGGTACCGCCGCCCCGGCCCGCGCCGGCGCCCCCCACGCCGCCGCCCCCCGCGGCCGCCAGCGACCCCCTGCGTCCGGGAGGGTCAGGCGCTGCGAGGTCGGCCTCGTGGTGCCAGTCTCTGAAATGGGGCGTCGGAGGGCCGGCGGGGGGACTCCGGGAGAGCGCGCTCCAGAGTGCCCGGCGCGGCGCCCTGCGCGCAGCGAGCGCCCCGGCGGAGGGCTGGTTGTGCCCTGGCTGGCCCCGCTCGGTCCCTGTCGCCCCCTCCCGCTCAGCCCCGACCTCTCCCGTCCCGTCTCCGGGGTTCTTCCTGTTGCTTCGCTGTGGTCCCTGTCGGCGCCTTGCCTGTCGCTCCTCCTTCCCGGGCTCTGCGGTACCCCCCTTTGCAACTCCATCCGCTCAGCTCCCTCTGGGCCGCTTACCTGGGGATTGCGGGCTTGTTGCTTGTCGTCGGAGGTACTTAAACTGCTGTTTTCAGTGCTTGCTCTTCTTGAAGTCCCTAAATCTAGTCACCTCCCTAGGCTCCTCTTCTAATTTTGTACCCAGGCAGGATTTTGAACCAGTCAGTGTGTCACCTGAGCTGCTTTCCTCAACTTGCACATCTACTGGTAGCACTTTATTAAAAAAATTGAAATGGGATTCACTTAAAAGGGCACTGGAGTGGGTGATTCCAGACAGGAATTTGCTGTGAAATTATCAAAGGAGGGCCCGATTGAATTGGCGAGGGGCTCAGTGAGTTCTATACCAAATTGCAATTTTCTCTTAAATGATTTATTATTAAGGAACTAGTAACATTTTTTGCTAGTTCGTATCATTAGCACTTTCCCGGAAAAAAATAGATCGTCAGGTTAATAGTGACTTTTAGTGTATGAAAGCTTCGGTGATTTTTTTTTTTTTTTTCTAGCTCCTTTCCTGATTAACATCATCGTGAATTGTACAGCTAATGCGTTTCCTTGATGCTAAATAGCTCTTGGAATTGATGCTCAAAAGAGGCACCTTCTTTATGGTGAATTTGAAACCATGCAGTTCTGTGAAATATTGGAATCTAAACCAAAGTTTTCATTCATTTGAAACCATCAGTCCTTCAAGTGTTAGGCACCCAAGATTGCTTAAATGTTACCTAATGCTAAGTGATCATCATATGATTTTTTTTTTTTTAACAAGTCCTTCTCTGAGCCCTATGATACAGAAAATATCAGTCCCCTTGTTATTTGTTGTGAAAAGCTAAATTGTGCAAATGCAGACATGCTTGCTAGATATTTTTGGCTTGCTTTTCCTCCTCAGCCCATGCCTCTTGTTGGGTTTGCAGGGTGTGCTACTCTTTGATAGGCAATGCCAAGTAGTGAAAATCAAGGAAAACTGCAAACCTGTCTGCAGTGTGGTGAATTTAACACCCCTATTCTAGAGTCTAGCATATCTAAAGCTAATGGAAAATAAATCAATGCTGCTTAAAATTTCCGTCAAATGGGAAACTTACTTGGAGAACAAGAACTCCCATATCAAACGTAAATTTCACCAAAAAAGCTGTACGTTTCTATAAATGTGATAGAAGAAGGCTGAATTCCTTTTTCTCTTTCCTACTGTCGCTCCATCATCCAAAGGCAGGGGGTTCTGAATATGTGGGGTTTCTATAAATAAAATTGATAAATCTCAACTCATGGCCAGTTATTTTATTTGGGTAGTATATAATATTACCCAAATTAGGAACTTCTGTTCAGTTTTTTTCTTTTTTTCTTGTTTTTTCTTGGTGTTTGGAACTTAATGTGACTTCTGCTTTTTTGGTGTCCTTCTTAAGAACATACTTCTGTGCTTAGGGTGTTCACTTCCTACTATGAATGCCTTTGTTTTTCGGTGGTGTTCTTTGGTAATGCTTTCTTTTAAGGGAGAGTGAGTGGCAGCTAGCATATTTCTCATGACATTTTAAAATTGAGAAGTATCAACCAGAGAGTAATTTTAGAAAACAGCCCTTTAGTCATTGTTATTCTGTTGCTCTTTTGAAAACAGACTGGGCCATTGGAACCTCTTCCTGAGTGTCTAATTTGTTTTCTACTTAGTGGCTTTGGCTTTAATTTTGTAATGTAGCCATTTACCTAGTAACAGTCACTCCTTGTGCTGTGTTAGATTGTGCTACGTTGAGATTATTAGGTAAAACATCTTGCCAAATTCTCTCTACCACTGGATGGCAGTTAGCAGCCTATCTATTTGATTTGGAAGTTGGGGGTTGTGGGATTTCTAGATCCTGTGAGAAAGTTAATTGCATGTTAAAATGCCTCAGTGTGGTGACTTAAACGGCTGGTATGGCTGGTATGACTTCATGCTGTTGGTAAAAGGTATACGGGTCAAATGTTTTCTGATAAGAGTTTCTATTTAAACTTCATTACAGAGCGAGCTGTGTGATCACCTGTTTTTGGTATTCTTGAAAGAGACGTTCAGATTTGTATTTTTAGAATCTGAATGAGAAACATACATTTTAATTTGCCTTTGGTCTATCACTAGTGATTTTTTTTTTATTTCCAGTGAATTGTTTGCAGTCACTATTCTTTGTGCTTCCTTATTTTAGTTACTTTGCCTTTTCCACAGTTTTCCACAGAAGAGCAACAGACCGAACTGTATAGCTAATTTAAATGAAACACTGGGTTTGCAGTTTCCTGCCTATTACAGGAGAGTCTCAGAAAATGGAACGTTCTGCCCAGGGGAGATTTTGCTTCTCTGAGACGGCAAGAGGCAAACATTTTGTTATGTTGACACGTTATTCAATTAACCAACCGATGAGTGCAAATCCTGGAAAATCTGACTATTTGTCCACATGATATAGCTGCTTTAGTTTACTGAAATGTTTGTTGAGCTAATGTAGCTGATAATGGGAACTACTGGGAGTAGTAAACTGTGACCCACGGACTCCCTGTGCAGGCTTAGTTAAAACAGGAGCATTCAGATGTGCAGGACATAAGCAAAGGCCTGCAAAGGGGCAACATCTTAATCCCTGGAGTGATTCAGACAACTTTTACTGTAGGCTGTATTACTGTTACTCTGTTTTTTTCCCTCTCCGAGACGGAGTGTCGCTCTTGTTACCCAGGCTGGAGTGCCATGGCGCGATCTCCGCTCACCGCAACCTCCGCCTCCCGGGTTCAGGCAATTCTCCCGCCTCAGCCTCCCGAGTAGCTGGGATTACAGGCACGTGCCACCATGCCCAGCTAATTTTTTGTATTTTTAGTAGAGACGGGGTTTCACCATGTTGACCAGGATGGTCTTGATCTCTCGACCTCGTGATCCACCCGCCTCGGCCTCCCAAAGTGCTGGGATTACAGGCGTGAGCCACTGCGCCCGGCCTACTGTTACGCTTTTTAAAAAAAACAGAATGAAATTCAGATGACTTGAAATCACACGTAGTTGAAAGAGGTTGAGTAACGTCGACTTAATCTTTCCCCTGGAGTTTCATTTCTGTTTACTGGACATTGCAAATGTTGGATCACCTATTGCAAAGCTTATCCTCTCAAAGTATTCATACAATATGATAGGAAGGTCTGAAACAACATTTTAAAGATTCTTTATAATTTTCTAGGAGCACTGACAGTCCTTAAAGGACATTTATGATATGCTTATTACATGACTTCAGTACATAGTTGTAAGTCATTTCAATGAGCCAGGCACAGTCCCTTCCTTCATGGAGCTTATAGACTCGTGTGAAATACAGAGTTGAGCCAAGAAGGATTTTTGCTTTAAAGTGTAGTGGCTTGAAGATTTTATTTAACCATGGACAAACAGTGTATGGATGACTTTTATCATCTATATACATAGAATATAGAATGATAACAAAGAATTACTATAGAATATAGACTAATTCATAGAACACATTATGTCTGGTGTTTTACAATAATGTGTTAGTGATTATCTTTGAAGAACTATCTAAACAGTCTACGTAGTGATGTGGCAGTTTGCATCTTTCTGTTTATGTAGCCACCACGTGCAGTTGATCTTCAAAAGTGGCACCGTTTTCTTCTTTAGTGGACATGGAGTTTATTCAGTGATTTCCTAGCTCTGGTTAGTAAGTGACTGCTGGATGACTTGAAGTGTTCCTCTCTGTTTAGCCTGTAGAGTTCTCGGTGTCTCCACTCTCCTGTGCTCATAGCTTAATTTTGAACTGAAAAAGTCCCTGTTTAAAGCACAAAGCCTTTAGAAATGAAGTATTCCTTCGTATTGATAGAAGTATTTTTTTTTTTTTTAAGATGAGTTTCGCTGTCGTCGTCCAGGCTGGAGTGCAATGGTGCGATCTTGGCTCACTGCAACCTCTGCCTCCCGCGTTCCAAGCAATTCTCCTGCCTCAGCCTCCCGAGTAGCTGGGATTACAGGCACCCGCCACCACGCCTGGCTAATTTTTGTATTTTTAGTAGAAACAGGGTTTCATCAGGTTGGCCAGGCTGGTCTCGAACTCCTGACCTCAGATGATCCACCTGCCTCGGTCTCCCGAAGTGCTGGGATTACAGGTGTGAGCCACCGCGCCCGGCTTGATAGGAGTATTTCTGTGTGTAAGACAGCGGTAGCGTTCTTGCTTCCTTTTCATTAAGGTACACATTCAAAACATAATTTGTTCTGGCCTTTCAGTTATTTCATTCTTGGTCCAAGTTAATTCGTGTCAGTGACTTGAAGATGCAAGGCCTGCATGTAGTTGTCAATTCTTAGAAATGGAGGTTCCGGCGAAATCAGTTTTGGACCTAGAATCTGCCGAAGCTGAGCATCGTGAAATGCTTCGAACTGAGAGCCTCACAGAGCTGTCTGAGGCCCAAGCAGTTCCAGCTTTTACACGCAATGCGTTCTTAGAGACAGCTTCTTAAAGTGTTTCCCCCAGTACGCTGAGTTGGACTTTGCCAAATATCTGTTTGGACAAGGAAGTAAACTATCAGACGACGGTGTCAAGGATTGAGGAAGGAAACCACAGGTCTTTTTCAGTCAGTGGCTGGCCAGCAGAGTAGTGAAATGCCAAATAGTATTAAATAGCTAGCAGGA